TCTGATCCCGATATCCACTTTAAACTGGTTCTTATACTGATCTCTTCTCTTTCCAACTACCAAACCAGTTAGCTCGGACGAGTTGTTGTACTTAGGCTCTAAGTGCCATCTGGTTTTACTTCTCTTGGTTTCTAATTCCGTAGTATAAGACCTTTTCCTCTGGTGTGACTCTGGTGACTAGGTTGGTGGACCCTTTTTGTTTCAAAGTTTTCGTCCGGTTCTTTGGTCTCCAGTTTTTAACTTTTCTGCAGTATCGTCAAAAATCTTCACTACCTCCTTACTTAGGTTTTGCCAAACAGGTTTCAATTATTCCAGTTTTTTAGATTTGGATTGCCCAAGAGCTTCCATTTCGAGATAGTAGTACCAAGATTACAGATGATATACCCAACTGATTGTCAAATAATTGTTACCGGAACACAGACCTATTTTTTTAAAAACATCTCCAGTAGGATTCGAACTCTAGATCTGCTGCTTGGAGAGTGACAACTTAATCACTACTTTAAATCGCCACACTCTTATATTTGCTTTTTTTAATTTAATATAACAAAATAAATTAAAAATAAAAATTTTTGTTTTTAATAACATGTAATGAAAATAATAATATATTATTAAATATTTGATTATATCAAAATGTTAATACTATTATTTTTGTAATCTTTTTGTTTCTTGAGATCTTCAAGATCTTAATCAGATGACTTATATTCTTTAGCAAAGTTTAAAAAAAGGTACAAGAAAGAACCTTTGCTTTTAGATTCAAAGTAAGTAAATACTATATTATGAACAAATATTTAAATTACTGTTTAGTTAATTTTCAATTTAACAATATATAAAGTAAATCTTTAACTTTGTATCTCATTTACTTTTTTGTAAATAGCTGATTAGAAAAGATTAATTAGAATAATCAGATCTTTGAGATTTGTATTATCTATTCTTATATTATTTAATAATAAATAAATATACAAAATGCTATAAAACTTTGTGATGAAGTTAAGCAAAAAAAAAATATAAGAGCTAATAAAATTTATAAATTTTCACATCAATTATTCTAAAACCTGATTTTTTAATTTAATATATTTCTAGACTGAATTAAGCAAATTTTATGATTTTGATTGGCCAAAGATAGCAGATAACTATAGAATAATATTGTATTAAAACCTTGTATAATTTTTCTTTTATATTTTTTTTTAATTTTTTATTATATAAATTGGCTTTTGTTTATAATTAAAAAATGTCAATCATGTCAAAATTTATATCAAATATAAATTTAATAAAAATTCATTTTTCAAAAAAATATAAAAATAAGCTGTTTCTATGTCTACATCCTATATTTACTTACTTTACACATATTTATTTTTTTATAAATATATATAATAATTTTTTTTTACATATATTTATTAATTTATAAGCTTCTTTATATAAATTTATTTTATTTTCTGGTTTTTCAAATAATGTTGTATTACTGTATATAAAACAATAAATCTCTTAAAAAATTGCATATTTTGATTGGTTAACCATCACGAAAAATCATGGGTAGATCTACAAAAATTAACCAATCATACGAATGTAAATGTCTTCCTATAGCATTTAAAGCCTAGCACCTTACGATATGTGTCCAAACAAAACGACAAAGATAAAAACATGAAAATATAAAAATGGCTATCTAAACTGGTCTTTTGATGCACTAAGTAAAAGTGTCGGAAATGCGATTTACTAAATATCTACTAACCTTATAGCCTATGTTTAACCCTAACCCTAATATTAATTAAAAATCGGAAAACCCGGAAGGTGCCAGGGCTTTAAACGTCCCCCAAATTAACACTGGACTGTATTATTGACGTCAAAATTACGAACTAGTTTATGTAGTCTTTATATTAAAAGATTAGTAAAATTCATTGACGTATAAATGTTTTTTTTCATTGCATTCTTAAAGTTAGTTTTCAGATTTTACATAACATAGTAAAAATTTCAAATTTAGGGGGTTCCGGTGGGTATACAAAAAAAATCAAAATTGTTTAATATATCAAAATTTTATTAAGTAAATAACACATAGTGCTCTGAAGTAAAGTGTTCAGCACTTAATTTCATATATAAATACATCTTTAACTTATTTTTAACTTACCCTAATCTAATATACAGTATAGGTTATTTTTTTCTTATAATGGGTATACACTACGGGTATTTTTAGAAATTTTCTAAAATCTAATATGTATATAAGGTAGGGTCGGGTATTATGACGCGGGAGGTATTTTGACGCATTTACGTTTTTTGATGATATCTTACGATGCACTGGTTAGAATCAAACAGTTTTAGTACCATTCGATTCGTTTTACTGAGACGAATCGAATGATACAAAATTAATCAATTCTGATCAAGACTTGAGGGAAGGTTAGACGTTATTGTGTAATTCTTACGTTATTTTCTCTTTTTCCTATCTAAGCAATTTCAGGGGAGAGGTCAGCAAAATCGAAAGTACAAAAACAGCTACGTATTGTAAATAGAATTTTGCTAAATTTAGATAATTAACACTGAGGTCTAATCGAATATGTATAGTGCGTCAAAATACCCCCCAACTACCCCCCAACTCACAAAACAACAGTTTTCATATAGTTTTGAAAGTTTGATTATCAAGTTTTGTTTTAAAATTTAAGGCGTTTATTAGTTTGACGATATTAGGTAGTTTATTTTAATAAAATTTGGGAATAATATTTTTTTTCTAAATATTTTTAACGTAACTTTGAAAAGTGATAAGATTTCTTTTTTACCAGGCAATTGCGGTCTCGCTTCGAATATAGTTTACTAAATACTGTTACTGAATGGTGCTTACTCGTTACAATATCATAATTTATATAATTTATGTTATAATGCAAATTTTAGACGAATGTTTAATTTTATTGGATGATCGACCACCCTAACGTGACCTGTATTTCACCACTCCACTAACGTTTAACTATTTGTTTAGCTAAGAATTTTGTTACCAGAATTTTTGATTACTAAAGCGCAGGAAAGCATAAACATTGGATACAAAGTTTATTATATAAATGAGCATTCACACAGAAAAATAATTGGTAATCCCTACTTTGATCATGTACTTTTCATAACTTTATCTTTTTGTTTGTCATATATATTATTATTTAAATTATTCTGTAAAGTTAAATCTTTGCATAAAAAATGGAGGTTAGTGAGAATCTGAAAAATGAGCCAGAAGCTATAAAAACATCAACCTCGAGCACTTGGGATCAGTTAGCACCAACACAGATGAGCAATGAGTTGCTCAACGAACGAACATTTCGAACTCGTTCAAAATCAGTTTCTCATTCAACAAGCACTCACCAGACCGCAAAATTAAGTAGTATTGATGATGATATAACTGCTGAAGTGCAATCATGGGAGACTACTTTAGAAAAGGCTATTAAAGCCATTGTTTCGATTAAAGCTAATCATGTAAGAAGTTTTGATACCGAGACTTCAGGTAAACATTTAACTTCTCTTTTCATCGCCTATTCACGATTAAATGATTTAATGACATGCGGTAGTTTCAACATTTGGCATATATGCAATAAAAGAACTATTAAATTATCGGATTCAATTTTTTGGTCTGGGATTAAAATCATTGTGTGACATATATTGATAAATAAATGGTTTTACTATAAAAAATTATAAATAGGCGATTATTCAGCTACAGGATTTATTGTTGACGCTGAAAGAGGTCTGATCCTCTCAAATCGTCACGTAGTATCACCAGCTCCCATCGTAGCTCAGGCTGTCTTTACTAATTATGAAGAGGTAGAATTAAAACCAATATACCGAGATCCAATTCATGATTTTGGTTTCCTTAAATTTGATCCTAAAAAAGTAAAATTTATGGAACTTGTTCAAATACCTCTAAGCCCAGAAAAAGCCAAAGTAGGATTAGAAATTAGAGTCGTAGGTAATGATGCTGGTGAAAAACTGTCAATCTTATCAGGCACCTTAGCTAGGCTTGATAGGAGGTGAGTATATTATAAACTTAACCAAGATTTATTTTCTAATCTTAATTTAATAAATCTTATTATTTTTCTTTTAGAGCACCAGAATATGGTGTTGGTGAATATAATGATTTCAACACATTTTATTTGCAAGCTGCTTCAGGAACTAGTGGTGGTTCATCTGGAAGTCCTGTGCTTGATATTGATGGAAATGCTGTTGCCCTGAATTCTGGTAGTGCTAGCAGAGCTGCATCCAGTTTTTATCTCCCTTTAGATAGGGTGAAACGTGCACTTCAATTTCTTCAAGAAGGAAACAATGTGCCGCGTGGCACCATTCAGACCGAATTTGAACATATGCCTTATGATGAACTCCGTCATTTGGGTCTTGATCCTAGTATTGAAGAACAAGTTAGGGAAGAATTTCCAGATGAAACTGGTTTGTTGGTTGTTCGCGTAGTTTTACCCAAAGGTCCAGCTGATAATACTTTAATTCCGGGTGACATAGTAATTTCGGCTAATAAAGTAACAGTCACCGATTTTCTTGGTTTGTTTTCGCTTATTGATGATTCTATCGGTGAAGATATCTGCCTCAATATATGTCGAAATAAAGTAATTGAAGAAGTTACTGTTCGTGTACAAGATCTTCATGATATTACACCGAATAGATTTGTAGAAATTGGTGGTGGTGTCGTGAATGAATTGTCGTATCAATTAGCGCATTCTTATTCTCAACCTGTTGGTGGACCTTTTATTGCCGCAAGTGGACATATGCTTGGTGGTGCATCGGCGTATCGTGAATGCATTATTGTCAGCGTCAATAATCAATTGACACCTAATTTAGATGAATTCATTAATGTTATGAAAACACTTCCAGATGGAGCAAGAGTGCCCATAAGGTTTTATTCTCTTTCTAAAATTCATAAAGAATATGTTACAATTATGAACGTAGATCGACATTGGCACAAATTTCAAGTAGCAGTTCGTGATGGTAAGTGATTGTTAACATGATCGTTTGTGATGCGAATTGTTATTGGCTGATTTTTATTTGTGAATTTGTGTACATGGATCAGGTTCATTGGAAGATTTGTTGCTTGTATCTAATTCATTTATTAGATACCACCGGCTTATGGAGTTATACTGAAATGCCACCGCCTCCGGTCATTCATTCATATGAACCGATAACCGCATCATATCAAACTTTACACGCCTCGTTAAGTCCTGCTGGGAAAGTTTGGCCTTCGTTTGTGTTACTCGAATATCGCCTACCTTATTTAGTGGATGGAATGCTAAGAAAGCAGGTAATTATATAAGGTCGCTATATTATATTATTTAATAGCTTGAATGAAACTTTGCATACGTTTATTAACACGCTTTATTTTTTTGTTCAATTTTAGTTTTATGGTGTTGGCGTAATTTTCTCTACTGATCCGCCATTGATCGTTTGCGACCGTGATACTATTCCTATAGGAATTGGCGATATTTTTATTACTTTTGGTAATAGCGTAATTATACCGGGCAAAATTCTTTATCTTCATCCTACCTACAATTATGCAGTTCTCACTTATGATCCAAAGCTCTTGGGTGGTACACCTGTTCGTGCAATTGAATTTAGTGATAAAGAATTAGATCAAGGTGATGAAGTATATCTTATAAGTGTGGCAGGTGACTCGTCACCTGTAATGAAAAAAACCTATGTAAATCATATTGGTGATGTCGATACAAGGGAGTGTAACCCTCCCAGATGGAGAGCCATGAATGTGGAAGGAATAACTGTAGATGATGCTATAGGAACGCAGGGTATGTTTTTAAGTCTACCTATTTTGACATTGACGTTCAACAGTATTACAAGAATATATGCGAATTGACATCAATTTATTTATAGGCGGAGTTTTGTGTGAATCCAATGGTAGAGTACAAGCCATTTGGCTTAAATACTCATCTCAGAACGATAGCGAGAACGACTACATATTTTATTGTGGTCTTCCTATATCGATAGTACTACCTACTATAGAAATGATCAAAATTGGGCAATATCCACAATTACGTGGGTTAAATGTTGAATTTTGGACGCGAAGAATAGCCACAGCTCGTGCTTATGGGCTTTCTGTAGAATGGATAAAAAGAATAGAATCTGCGGCAAATTCAAAATACACCATGCTATACGTATTAAACATATTGGATTTTACAAGTCCAGCTGGTAAACTTCTAAAAGTTGGTGACATTGTACTGATGATGAATGATCGTTTAGTGACTAGGATGGCAGATTTACCACGTGCTTATCATCAGTCCGAAGAAGTAGATATGGTATTTAATTATATTTATATCTCGTTCGATTTATTTTTCTTGTGGTGATAACGGAAAGGATTAATATATATATATATATAATTTTTTATAGTTAATATTGCGGGATGGTAAAGAAATTAATTTAAAGGTCGCAACGACGCCTTATCCTAAAAAGGAAACCAAACGGATCGTTTGTTGGGCTGGTGCGCTTATTCAAATGGCATACAAGGCAGTTTTAGAACAAGTGCGTAAACCTCCTACGGGTGTATACGTGTCTTGTACGCTTTATGGATCACCCGCATCTATCACATTCCACCCCGGTATATGGATTGTTGAAGTGCAAGGAAGAAAGGTTCATGATCTAGATTCCTTCTTAGATGCTGTTCATTTACATGAAAAAGAACAGAAAGAAAATGAAGATAGTGATGGATATGTTCGAATAAAAACTATTGATAGAAGAGATGTTACACATGTAGTAGCGATGAAACTTGTTCCCCATTATTGGGACACGTGGGAATTGGTGGAAGATGATAGTACACAAACAGGTTGGAGAGTTAATTATGAGACAAAATCCTTAGAGTCACACTAATGGTTCATCACATTAAAGAATTAGAATATTAAAAAAAAAAGTCTTGAAATTGTGATTTGTAATTTTATTTTATATTACCTTTTTTTCTTTTTATTGCCTCATATTTATATAACTTTTGCATACTACATATTATTTAAATTCCATGTATATTTGTTATTTGAGTATTGTTAAGCTTACCGGTGGCGATTATCATCGGTTAATAAAATTTAGAGAGAGGATAAAGATAAAAATATTGATCTGGTGTCACGTGATTGTTATATGGCTGATTGGTTACAATTATCGTTATGGTGGGCAATCAGAGTGTGGCACGCAATGTTTAAAATCTATATGCGGAATCTGCGGTGCGCAGATTGAAAATTAATTCCGCAAGTGAAATTTCTTTGAATCTGCGGATTTTATTATGTGTCATATATGTCACACATCTATTTTTTGAATTTTTATTATGTTTACAA